AACAAAAAAAAAAAATCAAAAAATCTGTTTTTTCGTTAAAATTCCCGCTTTTCTCTAATTTGTTTTATGTTTAAGAAATGTACTGGGCATTTTTATTTTTGACCTACCAAAAGGATCAAATACTTCGCCTGTTGCTAGAACTTACCGAAAATACAATTTAAGATATTTATACAGTTCTACTACAGTCGAGTGTTATTATGCTTGGTTTTTTACCCTCTAAATGTACCTTTTATCCTGTGTTGGATAGTAACGCGTAACGAATGTAACGTGATGCTGTAACGTGATTTTTCGATTTTCGTTGTTTCAAAGTAACAAATAAAGTAAGAAATAAAGCGCTACTGTTTCTACTTGTTTCAAGTACCTATACTGTGAATTAACAAAAAAATTCAATTCAATATTTGCACAACTCAATAACATAATTTTTTCGCATGAATAAGTATAGATATATAATTTATATAAATTTATAAAATGAACTTTTTTCAAACGAGTTCACATTTCCTGTAACATATAATATAATATATTATAGTAAATATTACACGTATTTAAAAAAAAAAATACGAACGTAAGTAATCAATAAAGTTAGTAAACAAAACCATTATTAAAATTATATAATAATTGGGTATTTAGGGCTATAACTTTTAAACCAAAAAATACGTCGGACTTGGGCACTACAGTTCTATATTACGAGGGTGGTTTTCTCTAGTATACTCAGTACAACTATAGGTTTACAAGTTCAGACAAAATACGGATATATTTTTTAAGACTTGATGTCTAAGAAGCAAAATACTTTTGACTACGTGTTTTATACTTCTATGTATATTATGTTTTTGTATTAACTTGTTTTTTGTATCCACTCATCATAAAACCTGATTTATTATTTATTGCCTATAGTTTATAAGTTATAATTATAGGTAGGTTCAGTAGGTAGGAACTTGACGGTTGGTAGGTAGAAGGTTCGACAAAAAATTACACAAATCATTTTGTTTATAATGTTTAATTCATATAATAATTTAAAATGAAACACACGGTTGGCTCTTAATCAAATGACTTTATATTATTACAGCTAGTTAAAAGCGAAATTCTATCGACTGACATTAAAATACATATTACATTTAATAATAATTAATATATTCATATAATAGTTTACACAATGGCAGTCAAAAATAATAATAATAATAATAATAATAATAATAATAATAATATAATAATTAAAATAAATAAAACTCTACACTACAAGCTATATAATATAACAATAATAATATACTTTATTATATTATGTTTACTATAACGGTGCGCTACTATCTATAATATAATTTCTGGACACGATTTGACCGAAAAAAACAAACTTTTTATAAACTTTTACTGCGGTGCGTACGTTATTTAATTACTCGTAAAACTGGTGCGAACTAATGCACACAATCTTAAAACGCAGTGTATGTATATTTATATCATAATAATATATAAATAGGCTTAGGGAATAGGGAATATAAAACAGTATTGTCCAAATATAATATATTCTATTATGTGAACAAACTGAATTCAACGTTTATCGTTCAGCAGAGACAGCAGGAAAACACCAAAAAATGCAGTGATATACCAAAGAGAGGGAGAGGTATGGACTCGGGATCTACCCCTCTCCCCCTTAGAGAGGGTTAAATTCAAATTTGGGGGTAGTCAAACTACACAGCTCCTCACCTTAAGCAAAATGTTCAACTTGTGGTTGGTTTAAAAAAAAATCGATTATGTTAGTACTTCAGTCGATCTGATCATTATCCTTAGGACTTTAAATTATATTAATTTTAGGTGAATATTTTACATTATATTATTATACAATATAATGCGTGTGTAGAGGTACATTTTCTCACGTCTACGTTGCAAATTGTTAAAAAGTGAACGTGTCTGCGATTTAATTTAACTGTACCTATACGAGAATAATATTATACGATTTTAAGGAAAAACATGTAAATGAGGTGTTAAGTGGCGTTGTACACTGCACCGTGTTAGTGTAGGTCTTCACGAGTGCAGCGAGAGCAATTATTAAATTTTTCTGTGCAGAGAGCCACTCGGCAGAAAGAAGAGCGGTTCTCTCGTCAAATTAATCAAAAGTGTTTTTTTTTTTTTAAATTACATTTGTTTTTACTTATGAGAGGATGGTTGTAAATAATATAGTGTGGTAATATTTCTATGAGGATTGTTGGTCGCTATTTTTTTGATTTTGAACGTTTTAATCTGTTCTTTGCACTACTAGCTAGCTATCCGCTAAAATTGTTTAATTTAAGAAGCGATGTAACCGATTCGAATGGTTCGGAACGACCAAAGTCGTTTTTGAATGACATAACGTCATAGTGTCCATGACGATATCTTACGACAATGTATTATTATAAATTGAAAAATAATATAAGTTTATGGTCTCGAATTTGTCTCGTCCGTTCGGAGGAGAGATCGATAAACAAGTACGTCGTACACTATAATTTATACGCGGATATTATATGCACACAGAAAACAAAAAACCCAAAGTCAAAGTCAAAGTCGTAAGCGTAACGGAAGTCTCTGGCACAAAGGCTTTTCGAGGAGCGTAAAGGTGCAGTACTATATTACACCATATATAGGATTGCTGCACACGTGTTTTGCGGGCGTGTGGGTGAAATATTTTAGTGCATTAAATTCGTCGGACCCTCTATATGTAACCGAGGTATCCACGGTATAACATTTTTTTGATGTACGGTGCGAGAGAAAAGGGTCGTCTGTATGACGAAAATAAAAATGTAAGAGTTCCGGTGAAATGTAATATTATGTATATTATTAACAGCGGTGACGCGACTGTGTTATTGGAAGGGTGCAATTGTTCACAGTTTTTTAATAAAAGCAATTTTGTTTGATTTTCAATAATACTAACTAGAATTCCGACTAAAGTTGTGCACAGGTAGGTGTATACCTGTAAGTTATACGATTGTTGAAATCTCGTAATGCGCAAATATCTCGTGATGCGGAAAGTGTATATAGTGTACAAGGGGACGAAGGTGGAGATAAGATACTGTCAACCCACCAGCCTCTGCAAGTGCGCTAATAAGGTGACTGAAGTTAACTGTGAAAATACGCACAACGATCGTTTCCGAACTTACATTTATTATTATCTTTTGTACCAGTAAAAATCACTATAAGCATTATACTATATTATTAATTTAAATAGGATCTGGTGCATCAATGCGCACCTAAGGAATTCAATGAAATATAAATAATATTATATTATATTTGATATTCGGTATCCGGTGACATATTTTAATAATAATATGTTAAAATATAACTCATCGATAACATTGTTTCTTGATTTATTATGATTCTTTGATAATGCGTTGCGTACTAATGAGATTTTTTTCACCGTTTATGAAAATGAAAACATTGTTAGAAAATTAATGATCAATCAAACAACAAATGCTTTAACATCCTTCGGTGAGAAACACGAATACGTGTACTACCGACTAATTCTATGGCGTTATTAAGCGTGTTTGCAGAGGGTTCTGACGAATTTTGATGTAAGTTTGTGAGTCGAGCTGCATTATAGTGCCGGAGCAATAAAACAAAAGTATATTTTATTGAAAAAAGGATAAAGTTTAATATTTTTACAAGCAATAAAGTTTTAAAAATTACATTACGGAGTTCCCTCTATTCGCATATTATAACAACTGATAATTATAGATATTACTCCCAACATTAATGTTGAACTTTGGACACAATTTTGAACCAGGAATGTTGATTCACAAGGCAAAGTGTCCACGACCGTCACTGTCCACTGATAATGAAAAACTCTATCATGAATCACCTATCATGAACTTTAATCGAGCAATAAACCGACGGAACGCACTTCAATTCATCAGAACCCACTGCCTCGTATTTTTGTTTATCATATTATTATTTATCGTGGTATTGGTTAATTCACTTGGTTCCCATATCGCATCTATTTTCTTTTTTCACCCCATGAGCCAAATAGGTCCATGATTTGTATATTTTATTTACAGTTTGAACTTTTCTAATTTGTACTCAAAGTTAAGTGTAAGTTTGATTTGAAGTAATACTATTGATTGGCAATATAAATTCCGAATAATAATTATAAACTATGTATAATTTATAAATGTAGATACCTACCACAATTTTGATTAAAAAAAATGTTGAATATTATTTTTAAGATGATGTGAAGAAAATATTCAGCGTGCTTGACTATACGGAATTTCACTATAGCTGCAAATAGATTTGACATGTAGAGGTGTCCAGAAGTGGTAAATTCGAAGTTCGAACGGTAACCGATCGGAGTAGAATCTCGTTTAAATACCCATTTACGAATGTTAATATCGGCTGTTCGGTGGAATTGATGCGGGATGGATAAATATATAGGTATTATCTCAACTTTGTGATAAGCAGGTGTCATGGTCACCACTGGCAGTGAATATTATCACTTATTTATATTTAGCCATGCCTAAGACAATGTGATGCAACTGCCGCTGCAGCAGTCTATAATGGTTATTGGTAGGGAAAAGATTCGTTCAAAGAAAGTACACCACACAACGGAAAGAGAAATGTTCTCAGAGCACATAATTATAATAATATAATATTATTAAACAATCTCAACGGTGTGGTAGGTGTGGCTGGTACGGGGGCACTTCAGTGGCTTACGTCTTTATATATATCATCAGCTTTATACAGGTCTGGACACGGGTTTTAGACTATATGGTACATATAATATGACATGACAACAATATACCTATGATATAATATTACACTTGTATACTCTATAGGCGTGCGAACTTTGCTGAAAATCGACGAGTAAAGGGCGGAAAATCGTAGGCTACAGCGCATCTAAGGGCACGCGTCTGACACGTCACATCGAGGGACATTTTCTATCAGCAACAACAATAATAATTAAAATAAATTATTACATCGGGCGGCGTGGACGGGGTTGGGTGTGTTGGGTGGAGGGCGGGGTGGCGGGCGTACGTGCAGCAGGCCTATCGCACGTTGTAGGTCTCCAACAGCTCCTGGACGGACAGGCAGTGGCTGCACCCGTCGTCGTGCACGAACAGACTGTGCGACACCAGCCCGAACTTGGGGTCGGGCTTAGGTGGCGTCGGTAAGTCGTCCCTGACGTGAACCACGGACACGGACACGTGCTTGGATGGCGGCTTGTTGTCGCGGATGGACGATGCGCCGCCGCCGTAGTTGTGGCCACCGTTCATGCGCTCCACTGCCTCGTCGTACGTGGGCAGTCCAGTGACGATCGTGTAGCTGGGCAGCGAGTCGGCGTCATACTTTCGCGAGTTCTTCTCGTTCCTCCTACGCTGAACTGTACCGGAAACACACAAAACAGCGATAATATAATAACAGTGTTAGATATTATGGTTGTGGGGGGTAGTGCTAATGGTGGACTTACAGCATAAAAATTTACATTGTAATATTATGCATAGTATTCGAAATCTAATTCGGCGCAAATTCATTTCATAACAAACCTAAAAATGTATGTTGCATATTTGCAAATTTTAAGAGATTTTGCTTGATTCTATTAATATTATAAACGCATATGCTAAAAAAATTTTAAAAAATGTGCAAGAAATTTTTATACAGTATCTATTTATAAAAATCATATTGCATACGAGTTTGCAATGAAGTACCACATTTTATGTCTTTGTTGTCCTTGCTATCATATATCTATCACCTAATAATAAGCTCGTACGTCGAGTTCGAATTATAAAAATGATATTTTGCAATTTTTTTCGTAACATTATGTTTTTTTTGAAACGTAACGTTTTTCGATTTCGATTCTATGTGCCAAAACAAAGACATAATAATAATTATTATAATAGTTATAAAACCCATGGCAACCATTTATAAACATAAATAAATAACGTAACGTTTTTCGATTCTATGTGCCAAAGCAAAGACATAAAATGTCAAAAATGTAAATTATAAACAAATGCGTAATTTTATAATAAAAAGTCTACAAGTACCCCCCATTATAATATTTTAAATCACACTATACTTATAGATTTAATAACAGTTTTTATTTTGTATTTAATATTAATATTTAAAGTTAAATAAACAAATGAAACATTACCTTTTAATAATAATAATAAAAAATATAATGCGTTATTTACACTGAGTATTTAATATTGATTCAATGAATATTATGTATCAATGCACATATTTCATTGATGTTTAGTGTACAAGCATCTGAGCCCTGAATATTATATTACGGACAAAATAATACACGTTCGTCAAAACAACTAATTATTGAAGTATTTTAAGTTGCCTATATGGTATGCCTGACCCATATAGATTCTATACGGTTTGCACATTCCATCAGCTTTATGACTAATATATTATTACATCCCATAGCTCAATTATCAGATTAAACGCAACGTATTGGATCATTTATCGTACCTACATATTAATATTCAATACGGTTAGGTTAGGTTGTTAAAATGACAAGTTTTATAACTAAAATATTTAGTCTGCTATTGACTATTACACAGAGATATCCTTGAAATAGATGTGCACTGAGATAAGGTATGGATAAAAAGAACGACAAATAATCAAAACTAGGTATTCATGCCGATCGTGAATGTGGTGGTATTTTGACGGAGGAATTATTGTATTTAATCTGATCGCGATACAGTCTTACACAAAATCACTGCTAAAATGGGACATAAAGTGACGACAAAATTAGGTTTACAGGAGCCTAGGGCCAGTCTCGTTAAGTATTCAAATGCTTGTATTTAAATACTTTTAGATTCTGAGCGAAGCATCAGAATAATGTAGTTTTTTTTTTTTTGTGTCTGTACTCGATAAGTAGTTGACAATTTTCATGTTCAGTATCTTTTCCAGTGAGAAAGTGAATTTAGTTGCTGCGTTGGGGAGACCAAAATTAAAAATTCACTTTTTGTTTTCAAAAACCAAAAAAAAAAAATGAATCAAAAACGGGGACTTTTACGCAAAATGTATTTTAGTTTTTGGTGTAACTCTTAAAAATATAAAAATATTAAGGTAAATACATGAAATTGTCATTGATTATTTATAATAGAAATTTCTATGCACCATACATTTTTCAAAAGACTAATAAAAACAAAAAGTGACAAGTCCAGGGCTTGCATTTGAAAAAAAATTCCATTTTATGTTATTTACAATTAAAACGTTACACAATTTTTGAGTTTTTCGTTATTTAGAACTAAAACGTTCTACAAGTTTTGCGTGTATCGTTATTTAAAATAGTGTTAACAACTATTAAATTTAAAAATAATAACTAATGTGGGTAGGTAATGGCCCGGAAACGGAATATAATATTATAATCAATTCATATTTGATTGTTTGCATGAAATAAATGTTTTTACGAAAAATATACCTTTTAAATAAATAGATTTTAAAATATTTCGTTGTGCGTTTTTTTTTCGGTCAATGATATTCTATAAATTACGATTTGCGTTATTTTTCGTTTAATGATACTCTATAAACTATACGTTTCACGTTATGTTTTGTTTAATGATATATAATATATTTTGTAAATCGTTATGTTTTTTTTTGCGGTATTTAATTATTTTTGTTTACAAATTTCAATCGTTTTTTGTCAATTATAATCATAACGTTATTATAGCGTTTGCAAACCCTGGACTAACAGCACAAATATTATAATTTATAAACCTTTACCTATAGGTACTCGGTAGTCAGTTCAATTAGATTGAAGAAAGTAGTTAAACGTCCCATAAATAAACTGATAATTCAACAGATTAGTAAGCAAGAATGATTTGTTATAAATGAATCACTTATTTTTATAGGATAGTGATAATTTATTGATCACATATATAGATTATTAACTTTTGTTTTCAACATTAACCTATTATAATATATAATATATGTTTTGAAATGAATGCATTTGCTCATAAAATACATTTTAAATGTATTTGATAGTTAAAGTGTTTTGCAATCATTAATTTCCAAATGTGAAGAAAAATAAATCGATTAAGATAATTAAATAATATTGATAGGTAATTGTAATAACTTTACTGTATAATTATATAATATTATAATAAATAATAATACATAATTATTATTATAATTTTTAATTCATATAATATTCTGCAATATGTTCACCCTTCATGTACCAGGTACATAGGTCACTTGCCTTTTCATGATATTCTTCACTCCAATTTATAACTACAATTTATTAAGAAACATGTCGTCGTTCGTGCGTTCCGCATATTCGTCGTTACACGAGGCTATGAAATTGGTCTCAGAAAACGAAATATTAGTTATTATTTATTAATTGTTACCAACCCATGTACAAATGTCAAATATACGATATCATAGATTTTTTCAGCTATTGTCAAGTATTAAATTTTATTTTATTTCTATTTTAAATTTTAAATCGATTTGTATAATATACAAATTTGAAAACGATTATTATTTTGATTAAAATATTATCAATTTCAATTTTTTTAAATTTTTTTATTATACTTTTACTTCTTGGATGATTTTTAAATCTGATTTCAAGCTTCATATGCCTTCGACATAGATATACCCGGTGAGAGGGACAAACTGGAGCACTTGCTCCCCTGGCTTTTGGATTTTTTTTTTAATTGGTCACATTATGATAAATTAATAAACTATTGTATAACAAATTTAAAGTGAGTAAACTAAAAAAAAAGGCCACTATCAAAAAAAAATCCTGTTAAAGTTAGTACTGTTCTGTGTTAACAATCTTGACCCCCCCCCTAGAGAAATTTATGCGGGCGTCTATGCCTGTGTGATGTGTATATAAAATACCATTGACATGATTCACGATTCGGAGGAGAAATAAAATATAATATATTATACGGCCGAGAATAAACGTTTTTATTTTTAGTGAAATAAAAATTACACAAATTATTATTATCATTGTGTGGTCATATTATTATAGGCATGACAACAAGGCCACATGACACGCGTATATAGGTACGTACACGTTAGATACTCGTTAGTTACATTATATTGGGTGGTGCAATACAAACATATATAGTCTATAGTGTGTTCACACTGCTCACAGTAGGATATTATGTGGTTGTCAAAATAATATATCGTCTCGCTTTGAAAAAAAAAAGTATCAAACCGTTTAATTTTTAATCGGTACGTATGACGGTGCGTATGTGCGTGTCAAATCGTTGACCAATAGATAAACAACATCATACTAAATGACAATCTATCTTATTATTCTATCGTATACTTGACTATACGGTTAACACGGAGGCTCGTCTATCACTGTTTTTATTTCTACAAGAAATGCCCAATTTATAGGTTTGCAGTATACATCGTGTTGTCATTTTTTTTTTGGGAGAGGGGGAGCACATAACTCTAAGATTAGGAAGATTTTGCACTAAACATGCAACATTTGAAATATATACATTAAACTATTTAATAAAAATTAAAGAACGGGTTTAAATATATATATATATATAAATAATATATTATATAATTATCAATTTAAAATTACCGGTAGGTAGATAAAGTTTTTTTTAATAAAGAGAGTGCGCAGAGAGTTTCAATTCAACAGCAGTTTGTTTTAAATGTTCGACTGTGTATTTGCAGAATGTATGATATATTATTATCATTTATTTACCTTCATATATAAACCTATTTAATTTATATAGGTAAACATATAACTAGACATAACTTTTCTAGTGCATGAAGTCACATTTTCCCAGTTCTGATGTTTTATGCATGGTTAATTTATTTTGAATGGAATTTAATTGGTTTGTGTGAAACGACGTTCCAATCATTAAGATTTAATCGATTTAATCGAAGAGTAAAGTAAGTTAGGCAAACCTAATAGTATACTCTATAATAATATTTATAATTTTTAAACATTTTATGTGTAATAGGTATGGAAAAGCCATGACTAACCCTTTTCCCCATTCCCCAACAATGTATGACCATGTGTATAAGATATGAAAAAAAAGCCATCTAGGGATGATAATTTTTATTTCAAGTAAATACCTAGTGAGGGAATTACTTGATGGTTTTTTTTTCAAAATAAGTATTAAAAACTGTTCACCATTACCCTTCATTAAAATAAAAATCTGAGAGAGAGGATGGAGCTGCAGTCGTTGCAGTAATCTCCAATAATGCTGAAGGTATATTGTGCAACGGCGGTTAAACACACACGAGTGCAGCTGCTCTATTAATTACATAATTTATACAAACAAACATAGTGTGAAGCATCATCATTAATCGACTCGTTTATGGATGCTTAGATGAAAACAAGAAACCCATCGGGTTTAGTGTAACTGTATGAACTACGAGTAATGATTATGAAAAGAT